GACACACTGTTCAACTCGGGGGTAATAACTTTTGGGTAAAATTACAGGTGAGTGATAAGAGCAATCTAAATCCTGAGTTTATCCTACGTGGTTCAGGTTGGCATTTACTTTTCCTGTTCAACTAGATATCTTTAAAGAATAGTTTATTTTAGTAAAGAACAGCTACACAGCTTCCTACATAAACTGGGATCTGTTTGTAGACCATAGCTATTCTTGCTACACAGAATTAATCTGCATGCACATTCCTTTCATGTTATAAATTGCTACAGAGTAGTATTATCAGAGGGAAAAAAACAGTAACAACACCAGTTAGCTTAGTTTCAAAGCCTAAAACTAAGTCTATACTATTACTTGGCATTCAGAAGCGCCTTACAAACTGTAATTGTAATCACTCTAAGCAAATAAGAAGAAACTGTACCAAAAAAAAGTACAGTAGCTCAAGGGAACGTACCAAGTCAGTAGTAGCAAACTTCCCGAGCAAGGACTCATGGATTTAAACTCACATGTCCCTGATTTGTGCTTGAGCTACTAAGTACAACAGTTTCAGCCTTTGTTTCTGGAGTTTTTAATTTAGACCAAGTTGCCTTCAGACTTTCAAACCAGCAAGCTAAAGCTGAACTGAGAAAGAAATTTGAAAAAAAGACTTTTAAACTACGTACGCCCCTTTTCTAATCTCAAGCTCCACAAAAGGCATGCTTCTACCATTTTATGACACATTCAGGCCTTACCTTTTCCCAACATAAACCTTAACCTACGTTACCACAAGCCTTAGATGCGCGCTGCTGAAGAAAAATTTTAATCAATATTTCATATCACAGGGCATACAGACTCTTTATACTAAAGAATATCTAGTGTTATCAAAAGCAATATTGCACAACAGAAGAACTATTTACCAGCAAAGAAAGTAAGCTATATACCTCACATTTCATTTCAAGTTTCACAACTGAACAACTGGTACACTCAAGAATGTGGAGAGCAGGTTGAACCAGAAATGACATTCCATTAAATGCCGAGTAGTTTTTAAATACCAGTGAGCAAGAACGGATTGCTGTGAAGTTTTAGGCCATTTTAAAAAGATCACAGATTCTCTAAATTGAAGGGAAATGAATAAAGTACAAACAATCAAGAACTGTTTAGTTATCAAAAAAGTCTATTTTGCTGATCTTAGTTTCAGACATTCCCTATGATGAGGAAAAAAAAACAGTGTAAAGATTTTTTGATCTTTTCTTGATCCCACCAAGCTTTAACAATGTTCAATTTAACTATTTACTTGTCATTGATATTTTTTAATAAACTATACCAAGGAAAACCACATATTTGTATTTTTCATCAGTATTAAAACTTTCTGCAATAATAGAATGATACAGTATCAGAAATGAAAATACTGCAAAGGTTTTTTTTTTTTTTTAAACACTATCAAGAACTAATTTTGTAAAATTCACAAATACATTACGGCTAACACCTTCAGCTTCCTTTTGTAAAAGTGAGTAACTTCTTTCCTGCACAATGAATAATTTGCCAAAATAAGCTAGCGATTAACATCCGCACAAGGTTAATATCCTTTTCATTTCCAGTGTTAGTAAAAACTATGGAAATTCCCTAGATACCAGCCCTGGGGCCAGCAAACGCAAAAAAGGACGGTAATTCTGGAATGGTTGCAGTAAAAAGTTAACTGTATTCCTTCTATAGCCCTACTCACATCAGAAAAAACTTCTCCATGGTGGCTCTTTTTTTTTTTTCTCCCAGATGAGTTAAAAGACTAAGGTACCTGTTAGAGATGGGAAGAAAATAGGGAGCTTTCTCATCCTCTTCCCAGATCAAGACCTCTTTTGCTACAGCAAAAAGGCATTTCTAATCATTAGCTCTATTCTCAAATCAGTTTCAGATCATCATCCTAGTACTTCCTGTCCTGACCTCGGTTGCTAGCAGGAACACAAAACTGACGAGAATTTTTCAATTTCCATGTTCCAAACAGTCTAATCTTTATGTCTGTATTTTGGTTGCTGTTCTGCTACAACTTTAAAGAGTACAAATTCAATGGAGAACCAACACTTCAGATATTTAGTGCCTGACATTTAGATCGAAAGGTTTTAGTAGCTATAGAAGTTTACCTTGTTACCTAAATACATGCTATTTACTAGCAACCTAAAATTCTCTGCAGCTTAGAGAGATTTGGTTTTCCCATATATTAATATTTACTTCTCAAAAATGAAGCTCTTAATATAATTTTGTAGTTCCATCAACTTCTGAAACAGAGAAATGCAGCAGGATCATGTAAAGACATATCTTCTAAACTGTAGAGCAGATGGGCAAAGAACTCCAGAAATACAAACAGCTAATCAATATAAAGACTTGCCAAATGTTTCTTATCGTACTGAAGGTGCTAAAATTAAATGTTTTAGTTAAGTTTCAGAGAACCTCCCATTAGAAATGCTATAGCAAAACTGAACAGATGTTAAGAACCAGATTTTGAAGGACATTTTATGACTATCTATTCCTATATCAGTATTCTTATATTATTAATACTCTACATTAAAGAATAACATCAGAATATTCTGATCAACTGTTGAGAGGTAAAGTCTATTTAGCTGATAAAGAATTCAGGAGGCAGGAATCCCCAAATATTTGGACACCGATATTGTGATTTTTTTTTAAACTGCAAAGTCTGTCAAAGACACATGCAGTACTTCCTTCCCTAAAGGAACAATAGTATAGTTCCTGAGTGAGGAAGAGCATACAAAAGGGTAACATCTTATGCAAGGAGAAGGGCAAGGGACTAATATCTAGAAATAAAAATAGATTTCCAAATAGTCCTCAGAAATTGTGACTGAGGACTTGATGAGGCACAAGAACAGTACTGAACTACTTACCCACAACTACTTTTTAAGGCAAGAAGATATGCTCAAATGAGTACCAATTTTGCAAAATACTGCATTTCAAAGCACACAGCTATCTCATCAGAGCAAAGAAGCTACTAGTTAGTCAGCAAGAGAGAAATAACGTCAATTTTCAAGAAGATACAAAATTTAATAAGTTGCCTCCAATTAAAAATGCTGATTCTTCAGAAGCGTGTGTGTGTGTGCTTTTTTTTTTAAGCACTTAATTTTGCTACCCAAAGCGTAAGTTTGTACCAGTGAGTTACGATCACCAGAACGTGCCACCGCGTTATTAATCCTTTTGCCCCTCCAGAACAAGCCAGTGCCTGCTGCACGTGGCTACGTTTACCCCAAAAGGGTCAGGGCTTCCCGAGTCTTCAAGCTGGCACAGCTTGATCTCCGCTCAAACCCAAGCCAGAAAGAAAAACAATAAGATTAAAAAAAAAAAAAGAGGCAGAAAAAGGCAGGATTAAGAGACACGGGCGAGCAGGTCACAGCCAGACGCCTATGCCGCAGG